GACCCGCCGGCTCAGGCCCCCTTTGACCCGGAAGTTGAGCTGCCCAAGCGGCGGCCCGCGATTGGACGGTTCTCGGACGCACCACCGCTCTCGGGCGCAGGGGGGAGCTCGAGTAGGCGGCCCGACCTGCCGGGAGCTGGGGAGAGACGCCCCCGTGCGGGTGGTATGGCCGGGGCCGCCAATGTTGCTTTTCAGGGGTGCCTGGAAGCCTGCCGTCGCCGCCGCGTTGGTGGTATAGTGGTTAGCATAGCTGCCTTCCAAGCAGTTGACCCGGGTTCGATTCCCGGCCAACGCAGCAATTAGTTTTTGCCTTTAAATCTCAATTCTCCAGTAGCCTACGACCCAGGTTTTCTGTTTAATAACCTTGGGATCGCTTTTTAAATTTCATAAATATTCTTAAGAGTCTAGAAATGAAAACAAGTGAAGCAGTAATTACTGTCATAGGAATTTTGAAACTTTTGAAAAATATACTCTATAATAAAGTGAAAAGGTCATATAAAACCAGGGGGAAAAAAAAAAAAAAAAGCACAATTGTTTCCGCCCGGGATCGAACCGGGGACCTTTCGCGTGTGAGGCGAACGTGATAACCGCTACACTACGGAAACCGGCGGGGACGGCCTTCCTTGCACTGTAATCATGTAACTCGAAGGTTGCGCAGCCCGTTACCTTGTAACCCCTGTTGTGCACAATGTTTGCTAGCGGTTGACTTCCGCTCCATTGACACAATTCAACACACAAACAAATGACTCACCAGACCACCGTCCAGAAGCCACACCTCCCTGTCATTGGTTTGTCGTTCATGCAATTTATCCTTAAAAATTCGTTTAAGTTTCGGTGGAGATTCCCTGTCTTGCTTCAGCTCAATCATCTTCTTAAGGCACTCTCTGAAAACAATTGTGTGTGCGTGTGCGTGTGTGTGCGCGCGGGAGTGTGTGCTGTGTGTGCACTGTGTACGCGTGTGTGCGTGTGAGTGTGTGCACTGTGTGTGCGTGTGTGTGCGTGCACTGTGTGCGTGTGTGTGTGCACTGTGTGCGTGTGTGTGTGCACTGTGTGCGTGTGTGCACTGTGTGTGCACTATGTGTGTGCGTGTGTGTGTGCACTGTGTGCGTGTGTGTGTGTGTGCACTGTGTGCGTGTGTGCACTATGTGTGTGCGTGTGTGTGTGCGAGTGTGCACTGTGTGTGTGCGTGTGTGTGTGCACGCGCTGTAAGTACAGGGAATTTGGAAGAAAACCCCATCGAGAAGCGGGGCCGGAGGCGACTTACGAGGCTGTCCCGGTGGCTCATCAGCAGCGCTGACTTGTGAAAATGCCGGCCGCTCGCCGCTGTCCTCGGCTTCCCTTGAGGGGGCGAGAGGAGGGTCAGCAATGGCCGGGCCTCGCCT